AAACTTTTTGATCCCACTATACTTTACTGTACATGCTTTCCTTTTCTCCTACCTGCTTCTAAATATAAGAATATGTGCCAAAGTGGAGAGCAAATCCCACTACTACTACTTTCATCTCACTGGAAATGAATGGCATTGATCATTACCTTGAAACTAAGAAAAGCAATTCTTATCACCAGTTATATCTGTATTAAGGAGCTCTGGTGCTGTAGTGGTTAAGGAATTTGGCTGCTAATCAGAAGGTCGGTGGTTTGAACCCACAGCTGCTCCACAGCAGAAAAGATGAGGCAGTCTGCTTCCATAAAGATATACAGCCTTGGAAACCCAATGGTGGTTGCTATGAGGTAGAATTGACTCAATATCAGTGAGTTTGAGTATTTATATTGATATGAGAAACCAAATACATGCAATATCAAACCATTTTCCCTTCTGCCAAACTGTTTATTTCATAATTCTCTACTGACCAGGCTCAAAAGTGTGAGATGATTTTCTTTTCTATCTCTTTTAGTCTCATATCTAATCAGTGGCCAAGTTATGTAAATTCTGCCTTTTTAATAATTTTTCCTATTCACTCTTTCTTTTCCTTACCCATTGATTGATTACCACTAAGACCAAAAATATTACTTCCTGAAAAGAACAAGTAAAATGAACATATTTTCCTGAAAATAAATTGAAAGTAAAAGAAGAAGAAAATTAAATATTGCCAAGGACAAAGTTGGGTCATTTGTTGTCTGACCAATTGGTATTTCCTTGTTGAAATCTTCAAGGTCAATTTTCCATCCAGATTCAAAATTGGATTGGTCAACTTGCCCTCAATAATGTTTGTCCAAATAATGGGCTTAAAGTCACATTTGTCATAAGACTGTCATAAAAATCAGAAAGCTAATTTAATTAACAGTAAGAATTACTACTACCAGTAGCACTGAATATTCAAATGTAAATAAAATGAGCAGATCTAAGAAGATAGAGAAAAAGTAAGATTTAAAAAAAAAGTAAGATAAATTCTAAATAAATAAAAGGAACACATTTATTTAAAGTTTATAGAAGTTACCTTATGACACACAGATAAACTAAAACCAGAATGAATATATTAACATGTAGAATAATAATAAGTACAGTCACAATGTTGTTAATCAGATTTGGGAGCTGTATTAAGGCACTAGCTAAATTATAGTAGCTGTTGTTAGGTGCTACTGAGTCAGGTCCAACTCATAGTAACCTTGTACAGAACAGGACCAAACACTGCCTGGTCCTGTGCTATCTTCATGATGTTTGAGTCCATTGTTTTTATTATGGTGTCAATCTATCTCATTGATAGATTCTTCTCACTGATACTCTATTTGAACAAACATCATGTCCTTTTCTAGTACCCTATCTTTCCTGATAGTGTGCTCAAAGTAAGTAACCAATCTCTTGCCATCCTCTCTTCTAAGGAGCGGTTGAGTTGTACTTCTTCTAAGACAAATTTGTTTGATCTTCTGGCCATTCATGGTACATTCAATATTCTTTGTAAGTGCCATGATTTGAATGCAGTAAGTTTTCTTTGGTCTTCCTGTTTCATTATCCAAGGTTATATGGACATATGAAATGATTTAGAAGATTATGACTTTGGCCAGGAGTATAAGAGATCCCAAAATACAAGATCGACTTTTTCAAATATATTTTTTTCTGTTGTATAACAGTCTAGAGGTAAGCATTTAGTCCTTAAAATGTAGTTTCCATCTGTGTTCCCATTTTCACTGACTATGACATGATGAGGACTGCAAAAGGGACAACAGGGACTGAGTGAGCAAGTCTCACTGTGGAGAAAAAGGAACTCCTTTACTATTGTGACCTAAACAAGGTCTGTCACTAAAAGAGCTAATATTCTGAGCTCTACCATCTGAATAACTTTGTCTGTCACATTTGTTTCAGAGCACACACATTATTTACTTTAAATATCTGAAATCCACATAGCATTTTATTTAAAATAACATTTTGAATTAGACCATTTTAGATTTCTACAATATTTATTGCTGTGCTTTTGGGATCCTAAAATGTTTATCTTCTGACCTTGTGTCACCTAATAGAGCACAATATGCTTTGAGAATATCAATTATTTTAATAAAATTCATCATTTCTTATAGAGTAAAATTTTAATACTATCATTCTCTTTCTATTTGTTAGTGGCAAAATCTGAGTTTACTATACTGCTTTGTTGTCACTTATTGGTATGATAATGCTTAATAAAGTATTTTCTAAAATAGTTAAAAATTTTCCAATAATGCTATTAAATAAACTCCTAAATTT